ACTGATTGTGCAGGTTTTCAAGAAAAGGGTAGATATGGTAGTTAGTGGGCATGGTGGGGATAGGTTGATAGTTGAACCACATGATCTTAGTGGTTTTTTGCAACCACAATTATTCTATGATTCTCAGTAGGAACCTGAACTTGTGGAAACAGAACTCAAGTGGTGCTGTGTCACATGTCCTGGTGGAGCTGCAGGAAGTGAAGATTTTGCATTCCCAGTGTATGTGGACAAACCCTTTCATTTTCCAAAGGCTGCTCCCTATCCTTCCCAAGCAAAGCCAGGTGGAAATGATCTGCTTTGCTTGAGCATTTTCCTACTAAATCTAGAGCCACCTGATGCAGTTTTATCAGGTTGAAGATACATAATGGCAGATAAACTGTAGGTGTGGAGGACCTGGGTGGGTTAACAGAAGCCACTGTTTCATGCACACACAAAGTAAATGAAGTCCTTCATAAGAGGAAAATCTCTTTAATCTCCTCTTTGCGGGAGATATCTGAACATGCTATGCCAGTGTGTACCACACTTGTGAGTTGGGATTATTTTGATTTATAATTTGAAGTGATGTGAATGTGTTAAGTAATACTGAAAGTGATAGGTGAAGAAAAGTGAGTCGGCCTAGGCATGCTGCTGCTAAGACATCTCTTGTGCTGGCAGGTGCTTCTCTTCCCAACCCAACATCGTGCTGCTATCCCTGTTGTCAGGACATTACTATCCAGGCTCTTTGGAATAGCATATTTTATTGGAGCATCTAGTGGAATTGCTGGTGGTCTACCAGTAGTTTGACAACAAAAGTTTAAGGCCAAAACGGTCTCCATTTGAGGTAATTCAGGTATAATCCTGGTTTCAGGAGCTAACACTGCACTACCAACCCACAGTAAAAGACTTTTTCTAATAAAGATTTCATGAATCACATTGGTTCTGGTGTGTTTTTTTCTCTTTGTGTGTGTTTGTCTCTTTCCTTGAAACAAATGCTTCCTTTTCATTTCGTTCAGCCTCTGAAGCAAGAGGAAGGTGAGTCTTTTGTATTCTGTAGTCTACAGATGTTGATTAAATAACATTTGTAGTGTGATAAAGAAAGAAAGAAACTCAGTACATTCTGCTGGGGTAATCTGCCAGTTAGGATCTACCAGAATGATTAGGTATACAGAGAAGATCCATGAAGCAATCACCATGCTGCTGGCATGTGATCTGTTCCCAGGTATGAGAACTAAAGGTTTCTATATCAAAGCTTCTATTTCCTTTACCTGCAGATGTAATGCACAGTGTAATCCAAACTGTGGAGTTGGTTGTTATCATAGTGAAATGCTTATTGCATCTTCCTTGTTTCTGTACAAATTGAGGTCAGTACTTGAAATACAAATTTCCCTCTTCAAGTTCAGTTTTCAGTCCCCAAGTAGAGGAGATTTCTGCAAAATAATCTGTGGAAATGCTAGTGTTAACTCTGAGAACAGCATTATGCTCCGGAGTTAGCAGCCAAAGAATGTGTATCTGTGTGCATTTGCCTCCTTTGCTTTACAAGCAAATGATTTATGAAGTTCAATTAGCTCTTACTGTGACTAGAATTAAGGTTGTAGTTTCATGAGATACTTTATTTAGTTATTTAAAGGATCATTGCAATGGTCTGAGTTTAAAAAAAAAAAAAAAAAAAGAAATAGTTGTTCTTTATATGGAGGGTGATTTTTCTTTTCCCCGATTTTTTGAGTGACCTAGTTATAGCACAGCCCCACACTGGGGAGGGCAGGGAGTGCAGAGCATTGGCAGGAGTGATGCCTTGAATGGGGCAGCAAGCCACATGTCATGCTGCTGCTAATGCTAACATTGCATTTTAAGCTCTGTGGAAGGGGATGGCAACCCCAGAGAAGAGATAGCAGCTGTGAAACATGACTAGCACAACTTGACTCTCCCACTGGGACTTGCTTAAGGTTTTTTTCTCTGTACGATTGCTGTGACATTGTAGGTGTTCAGCTTGCAGCTTTCTCAGAAACGGAACTACCTGGCAGTAGGATGAAACTTTGTGGTGTTTGCTGTAGGACACAGGGACCATGCTGACAGAGAAAAGAGAAATTCCAGAAAACTGATGAATCTCAGCTGATTTTTGAAAAAGCTATTGGACAACCTTTTCCTATGGGCTATGAAGGCAGTCATTGCTGCAGCCTTTCATTTGAGGTAACTCTTTTCGGTCTAGAAAAGTGCTGGCTTCCCAAGCTGGAAGTGATTTGCAGGTGAGCAATTCATGAACAGCTTCTGTGCAGGGGCATATGGATGCTCAAAAGCTCTTGGCTCCTCTCAGTTTCCTAACTGTGTGAAGTGCTAGCACTCTAGCCCTATTGTAAGCCAGTATGGCAACTGCACTGGGAAAGAAAATGTGGTTGTTTTTGTTTCAGTAATGTGGAGCTGTAACACAGTGCTGGGACAGGACTTCCCTTTTCATGGTGATGTGTACTGTGACAACTGCAAGCTCCAACCATCTTGTCAGACAGATTTGGTGTGAAATTAAACTTAAAACTCATCATATTTTGTTCTGTTTTTAACAAGGCATCTCCAGCAAGCTGCAGTGAACTGAATGGCTTTAGTGTAGTCATCAGATGGGAGAAGTGTGAGAAAGAGCAAAGAGCTGTAGGAAGTTGGCAAAGTGGTTCAAGAAATTGTGCCGTGTCCTTGATCATCTTTGAGGAGAGGATGTTAGTAGGAACATGGCAGCACTTGGTGCTGGATAAGCTGCAAGGCTGAGGCTGTGGCCATTTGTGGTCAGTAAAAATTGCTTCTTGGCACTCTTCCTAGAAGTAGGTTTATTAAGTGAAATGTGTTGGCCAAATTCTAATTGAGTAAATCCATTCTGCCTCTCTCAGGACTCCTGAAGTATCGGCTGGGTATAATGTTTGTTACACAGGAAGGGAGAACTTGCTAATGGCACAGTAACTCAGCCCCTGAAAGTGGATTCTCATTTGATGTTAATATGTGTAGCTCAACTGGCTCCGGGGGGACCTCCTCTGATTTACACCCACAGAGAGTTTGACCTTTATTTTCTGCTGATGGCAGTGCCAGAATTATCAGGGCAAAATACAGAAAATAGGCAATAAACTAGTCATTGAAAAGGTTTTTTTCTTTTTATTACCAGACGTGTGGAGGTTCGGTTCTGCTCTGAGGACTTGTATCTAGTGAAAGCCTCTGCTCATCTCTGTATTTCTGCTGTGCATTGCTTCTGCCTTACAGCAAAGCAGTGGCCCACCAGCCTGGAGTGAAGTCATTCCTCAACACTTACAGCTTGAAAAGCATTTTAGGATCCTCTGATCCTCTGCTAATCGATGCATAGAACATTCATGCAAGTAAGAGGGCTTCTTGAACATGTTTTTGCTTTCTGTCACGAGAAAGAGGATATTTTGCTAATTCTGAGCTTATTTTGTTGAATTTAAACTTGTGTTTTAATTTTCAGCAAATGTGAGATATTTTTCTTCATCTCTTTCTTGTCTTGTAACTCATGGCTGCAAGGTGTGACATCTAAGTCCGACTTCAGTATCTTTTTTTGTGTGTGCTGGCTAGCATGTTTTGACAAAGCTGCCCTTCTTTTAGGCTGGATTGCAAGTGCTTCACCTGCACCTCAAAGGTGAATCCTAGTAACTTTGTCAGAGACAGACACGCAATTAAGCCTCTCCTTGTCTCTTTTCTTTTTTTATCCCTTATGCTGCTGTTTCTCCCCCAAGGTCCTGAAGTGCAAGACTTGCTGCCTTGTTTCACAGTGCCTGTGAAACAAGCTGACCTATGCCATGCTTGATCATCTGCAGCCTACCAGCAATGACAATTTGACACATCATGTTGGGTCGAGTGCCATGAGTGGCTGGGGCTGCTGGGCCCATTCAAGTGAAGCTGTGAGCCAGTGGTGTCACAACCGATGTCTCCTGCTTCATCTTTGAAAGGGATGTGGAAAGCCTTTTCTCAATAGGAGAGACAGCATTGCAAAGTGGTGAACTGTGTTAGTGCCAGCAGTTGATGGGGAGTTCACAAACACTGTAAATGCCATTTCTCACACCTTTTCCTTGCCCTCCTTCATGCTTTGTCTGCTCTTTGCGATTGCCCTTTGGCTAAGCACAGCTGATGGTTGAAGGGAATGGCAATGCAGGGATATCTTGTGGGCCCAAGAGCGAAGCAAGTCCTATTGTAATTCCCCAATAAAGAAGTCTCGGTTCCATACTGATGAGTACAACTCTGCTCATAGCAAAGAGCTGGTGAGAGTATCATCCATGGTTGGTTACAGTCTGATTGATAAAGAGACTTAAAGCTGACTTTAGCAGTAAAGCTTATAAAAATGCTTCACCATATTATAGGTGTCCTTCTTTTGTGCTGTTCTGTTGCTGAAGTTGTGTCACCTGGATTATGTATTTCTGTGCCTGTTTCTACCTCTTTTCTGTTTTTGTGGGAAAAGTTAAGCTGAAACACATCAGCTTTTCCACTGACCACAGCTAAATTCTCTTTTTTTGTGGGCTTTAACATTTCCTCACCTCTCTCACCAATATCTGGACATTAGGAAGTATTACTTTTCAGAAAGGGTGGTCAGGCACTGGAATAGGCTGCCCAGGGAGGTGGTGGAGTCACCGACCCTGGGGGTGTTCAAGGAAAGGCTGGATGTTGTGCTGAGGGACATGGTTTAATGGGAGCTATTGGGAATAGGTGAACGGTTGGACTGGATGATCTTTTAGGTCTTCTCCAACCTTGGTGATTCTGTGATTCTGTGATAAGATCTATCAAGATGGCAAAAATATCGTTGTTTTGCTACAGCAATTAGGTGAGAGTGTTATGATAGTGTCATGGATGTGATTTTAGCTGTCATCCTGAAAATCCTCTCAGATGTGGATAAATTATGGGTTGCTGAAAAAGATTGTTTTACATGTTCAGCAGGGGAGTTGTTAAATATTTGAGTTGACTAAGATCAGACATGCAGAACAGGAAAACACATATTTTGTTTTCTTCTTTTGCAGCTTTTGCAAATCAAAGGCTGTTGCTGGTTTGGAAGCAATACAGCAATGAATTAATTGGTTTTAATAAGAGTACAGAAGGATACAGCTACCATTGCCACCTTTCCTCGCCCCAGATCTGTGCCTTATGGTATGGGAAAAAAGTATATGAAATATAAGCAAGGCTGAAGGAGCAACCATAGCAGATGGACTGATGAGACTGGCAATGTCAGGAACAGATTGGTTGTAAGGATGAACTGTAGGGAAGTAGCATGCATCTCTGCTGCTTACTGCATTTCAGTGGCCACAGAAGGGTGCTGGATTTCTGCCTCTTGAGTGGTAACTGAGGCAAGTGCCTTGAATTGTGCGGATTGCAATCCCAAAGGCTTTTCATGAGGATACTGCTATGTGAAGGGGCAGTTTTGCATAGGGCACCAGTACTGGAAGACAGCAAGAGGAGGCCAGCAGCTTATGGTGAAATGAATGAGGGAAAACTAAATAACACGGGAATGGTAATGTCAGCTTAAATTGCCAGTCTGACATTATGGATGGTGAATGGGTACACAACTAAATTTTCTAGATTTTCTGCCTCTGTTGAGGGTGCTGCCTCCTACAGGCCATGAGGTTACATGTAAGTCACCCCTATGGTGTGATTGTAAATGCTCCATCCAGTCTGGGGCCAGCCAGAATCTTCCCTATGCTTTTGTTCTTCCATCTCTTGCAAACACATGAGGCCAAGTCCATAGTAAAAGCTTTCAGCATTGTACGTAAGCATTGAGAATGAGGAAGAAACTGCTGGGATGAAGTGCAAGTTGGTAGAGAGCATGGAAGAGCAGAAGGAACTGGCATGTGGGTAGAAGTTCTTAGAGTAATGAGAATTGCAAGAATGTGAGTGCAGTTTTAGATGCAAAAATGAAAGAAGGCCAAAATGAGGAAGGAGAAATAGAGTGGGAGTGATCTTTCCCTGGAGGTTGTGTAATTATTCATGAGGAACGAGGCTGTAGGAATCAATCATAACTATGTAGAAACTTTTTATCTGTAGGATCCTTGTCTCCCTGTTGAAGTTGGAAGGTATGAGGCAACTGTTATGTAACTGAAAACGTGACCATAATGCTTATGCAAAATGGAACCAAGTTACAAGGACATGTCAATCATTGTCATTATGTAATTGAATATTTGACTGTATGAGACAACCACAACAATTAAAGGTATTCTAAAGGCCTACTTTAAAAAAATAAGAGTTGGTTACATGCAGGAAATTCCAAAACTGACAACAGAATCAAATGAGATCAAGAAAGAGAAGAAAAAGAAAAGGTATATAAATTACATTAATTTTAAAACCACTCTTAAAAAAAAAAAAAACAAACAGAGCGTGTTATGGAAACCAGATTTCTACAGACTCAAGGCAGTAGAAACTATAAGTAAATCAGTGAATACAACTTGTTTTTTTAGGATAAAATTTTATTATAAGCTAACAGTTTCACAGGCACATAAGTGTCTTGGTTTTCAGAGTGCCTTGGTTGACTTGCTTAGGACCTTGATTCTGAGTGTGTGGTGGGATTCCTCTTACCTAACTAATGTAGACACCTAATATTTGTCATTTTAAATTTAAGACAGTTATTTTGGGCTGATTCAGAATCAGAGAAGAGAAAGACTTCTTCAGTCTGGGATGTCTGTTTTACCAGGGGATGACTTGTCCTCAAGAAACGCCTATTATCTCTATTACTTATAAAAAGAGCTTAAGACTTAAATGATCCACTTTCAGGTGATTAAAGGCATGAAATAAGTCCTGTCAGCTTAATATAAGACATCTACCTTTGGAATCTGTAGCTCTAATAGCTACTTGTTGATCTATATTTGAATAACCAACGTTTGCAAATTGTGCTCTGTATATTTGAGTTAGCTCTCAGTGGCTGAATGAGCAGTGCAGATGCAGATGTACTCAGCCAGGTAGCTGACATGCTAGCAGGAAGCAAAGATTCAAACCTCACTTTTGGAGGGTGACTTGCAGGAAAGAATGTGTGACCACAGTTGCCCACATTCTGCCAAAGCTGGCATCTTTTCTCTTGATTCAACTGTATTTCAATTTTGGCTTAAATGATCAGATTCTCCTTCAGGGCTGCTTGCGAGTTTTCTCTAGCCGTGGGTTTGTTTGATTGTAATATTTAGCTTTCCAGCATCTGTATATCTCATGTTACTGCCCTTTTCAGATTATTACGCTATTCAGATCACAATGCAGAAGACTTAGACTGCATTCAGAGGAAGAAGATGAAAAGCAGGAGATGTGCCAACAGGATTTTTTGTCAGCATTCTTCCCTAGGGCCATCTTACTCGCCTTGCTTGAGACCTGACAGCTGTCTTGGTAGCTACACCCTTACCTGCTTCCTTCCTCATCCTTGTTCTTGATGTCAAAATCAGTACTTCTGGTTTGGCAATTCTGACACGGGGAAGAAATTACTAGGCAATGGTGTATTGATAAGCAGATAGGAGAGTTGTTTAGAAGAGAAGTGGAAATACATCTGGTCCCCAGAAAGAACAGAGATTCCTGCTTTCCTGATGTGCATTTGCTTCTGGGCTGCTGACTTGAACAGGGTGACAGATAAGTGCATGCCTTTCTCCTGGTTGCATCAGCATGTACAACAGAGTCAGAAGGAACCTTCAGTGAACAGAGGTTTATGTGGCTGTGCCCGGGAGGGATCACAGCATCCTGAAGCATCATTACAGGGATATCTCCTGGTGTAGTCTCTGCCTTTTGCCTTGGCTTAAGTGCTGGAGTCTGCACCCAGCTTCTGAACTTCCAGGCTTCAGAGCTCATTTGCTGGCTGACAGCAGGCAGGAGTCCCTCTATTGGTATCATGTTCCCAAATCGTATGACAAACAATTGGGCTTATTTTAGATGCAGAAAGAAGTTTGTAATCCCTACCTTGGGAATTACCATCATCTTAGGAATTAGTGTTCTTTTCAGTCATTTTATGAGGAATCTAGAAAAGATCTCCCTTCTCCCATTGTTCTGTTGAAAACAAAACCTCTTGTCAAGTACAAAGCAGAAAAGACAAATCCAGAGTAAGACTAAAAGTTGGTGGGTATTCAGTCCACATAGTGCTCCGTGGTAGTTTACTCTACTCATTCAACATCACCTTTTGTTATTACAGCTCACTTTGGATATGGCTGACCACACTGATGATTTCACTATTTTACTTTATAATCACAGACTCCTTTCTCATTTATTGAGATCTCTGCATTTCCAAGTAGGCCATCCTTTATTGCAATATATCAAACAGATATAATTAATTATGAGACTTTAAGTATATGTATGAAAATAGCAATGATTTTTGAAACATATAACTTCAGCATTTCAAAATTATTTTGTTGAAGGAGATGACTCATGACTGAGAAAAAAGATACTGTAATTTTGTTGAATTTTCCTATCATTAAGAAAATATTATGCTTTAATCATGAAGGACAGCAAAACATGCAGACCAAGTAAAACTGCATAGTGGTATCAAAGAGAAGTGCATTATATTTGTCTACAAGTATGTATTTTTATATGTGTTTTAGCACTCACTTTTTTTTTAAAACAAACGAATTTGAGAAACGAAGTAGAACTGTGGTTCGTTTAATATGAGCCTGAACTCTTCTTTGTCTTCAGTCTACTGCTTCCATATCTGTATCCCCTTTTTGCTCTGCAGGCTGATCCTGGACAAACAGCTCTGCTATATCATCCACGTGTTCTACAGCTTTTGGTGTGCTGTTGGTGGATGCTGGCATATTTCCAAGGGGAGCAGATGTGTTTTGCATAGGTGTTGTTGGCACACCTTCAGGGGTTGCTGGCATGATTTTGGGAGATGTTGGCACACCTTCTGTAGGTATTGGCACGCTTTCTGTAGGTGTTGGCACCATTTCTCTGGGCATGGGCATGCTTTTGGTGGGCTTTGGCATGTTCTCAATGGGTGTTGTTGTATTTTCAGAGGATGCTGGCATGTGTTCAGGGGGTCCTGATGTGCTCATGCTGAACTGCTCACAGTGGTTCCCGGCCTCTGACTGTGAGGTGAGATGACAGGGGAGTTCTGGTACAGAGATGGCTTTACACATTTGAACATCGCATGTCTCTGGATTGCTTCTGTTGCTTGGAAAGGTCTCCTCTGCTGAGTGGGACACCCTGAAAGCTTCAGCTAGCTCCTGCAGCATGTTCTTGTCAGCAGCACACAGCTCAATGCTTGCCTGCTCACTGGAGGAAGGGTTTGTATTGTCATCGTCGTCTTCTTCTAAGATATCATTTCCATTCACCTCTTCAGGGAGCTGTGCTTGTTTTATTTTTCTGTACAGTTCATTCCTCTCTTCCTGCAGAGCTCGGCAAAGGTTCTCTAGCCTCTGGATTTTCAACACAAAGCACTCATATTCCTTGGTCCTCATGGCTTTCTGTGGTCAGAGACATTAGACAAAGGCACAGGCTGAGTTTGTGTGCATGTAGTTCATTTGTGGAATTAGCAATTAGGAAACAATTTGAGATCTAGGCAGTCCTCACAGGACTCTGCAAGGTGTCTGGCTTTCTCAAACTGCTCTGCGATTACGATGACCTTTGGTACCAAGGCTGCAAGAGGAAATTTGCCCTTGTTTCTGTACTGCATTAACATTGGCCATAAAGATTTCACCAAGAAATATTTGCAGGAACACCTGTCAACAATCTGTAGAGATAGAAGAACATACTGTATCTTCATACAGAAATGGATCCAAAATCCTACCTCAACCTCAGTTTCAATGAGGCTGAGTGTGTGGGTTGTTTGTTTGTTTTGTGTGTGGGTTTTTTGTTTTGTTTTCTTTTTTTGGGGGGGAGGAGGGGGGGAGGGGGGAATCTCTGTTACTTTTTTTTCTTTTTAACTTTCCTTCTAGATTCTGTGAGAGTTGCCTGACTTTGAACATTTTCTTGCTTCTACACCCAGTGAGGAATCAAGAAATATCAAAATCCATAGAAATGAACAGAACTACAAAACTAGCCAGAAAGACCCAGTCCAAGTTCATTGTAAGTCTGGGCTGAAACTTCAGGCAGGCTCTTATCTTATCTGAATGAGTTCCAACATGCTTACTAATTTCCTCTGCACTGTTTCTCTGACATTGTGGTTAAAACTATAGTGAGACACAATGCTTGCTTTTGGCTCTTAGAGTTTGCCTGCACAAGAAGTTAACAAAAGAAGTGAATTTAAAATTCATTTGCTACGGCACATTTACACTCTGAGTGAATGCTCTTATGCAGAAAGAAAGTATCTTAAAGTGAACTAATGCCAATTTGCTTCTCTGTGAGAGCATTCACTATCATGCATTTTTAGAGCACTTAAAATTCACAGTTACATAGTTCAGTTTGTTGTGGACATAATGAATATTTCAGTATAATCTAAAAGTCCCAGTAGTTGTGATGTTTGTGATGTTTGTCTTTTTTTTTCTTTTAAAAGATCCAATAACCAAGGTAACTTGAAAAAAATGACCCTTAGATTCAACGTATATATTTTTTTTTACTTTTGACAGTTCATTGCATTTCCCACTTAAACTGTTATGTGGTGGAAGGGGTGCATCAAAAAGCCCGCTCACCTCTTCAATCATATCCAGTAATGCTCTGTTACAGTTCTCAAACCTGGATTTCCATGTAGCAGTATCCTTTTCCAACTTCTTCATTTTCTTTGTCATCTATAAAATCAAGAAGAAAAGCTGAATCACAACAGCAGTCCCACACTGCAGATGGAATTAGGACAGCCCTTTCACTCAGGTCTCTGTCTGTAGTCATAACTGTTCTCCAAGATATGCAGAAATGTCCTAATCCCAGTTAAAATTACTTCACTGTGACATTTCAAAATGGAAGTGTCAAGAACAGAGTTCAGATGTTAGCTGCTACTTACTTTCTCCATCTCCTGTTTGAAGGTAGCAAACACTTCATTGCTTTTTGTCAATGTTTTCTGAAATTCTTCAAATCTCTCGGAGTAGAGAGTGATCTACATTAACAAGAAAAAGAAAAACAATGATTTCAGAGTTTCCAGAGCAGTGAACTGAATGATAATACCTTGCTTAAGTAGAAGATAATACAATAGGTTGGGGTTTTTTTGGACATGTGTTTAGATACTAATGAAGCACCAATATAAGTGACCTAAAATTCTGTGTATATTTTTAAGATTGCAAACTATTATCATTTGTTTGTTGCAGAAAGATAAAATGAAGAATAGGAAGACCTGGGCTGGTGACCTTTAAAAAGATCTGGGAATTATGGATGCTGAGTTCATGAATGCTGCAGCTAGGATGTCTCTGTGTTGGTTGCCCAGAAATGAAAGAATTCTCTAGAAGTGGAAGATTAGTGGAAACATCTCCCTAAGTAACTCCATAGAGGCTTCAGGAGGACAGCATTAAAATCTGCCTAGATTTCCAGCCCCCTGTTTTCTTCACAAGCTCTGTATACAATAGAGGCTGACTTCTTTAGGGTAACCTATGGAACAGAAAGTGGTAATGGGTTAAGTGAGCCATCTCTGTTAGTGCACTGGGCTACTGGAGCGTGGCAGGGACTATCCTGAGTTGGTATGACCACTGATGTGGGGTAGGACTGGGCAATGGGGTCAGCTCTAGGTAAGATCCAGAACCGTGTCTGAGCTAGCACTAAGCCTTGATTCATCTAGCTGTTCACCTGGCTTATCAGATACCCAGCAAGCCAGATAAGAGCTAGGTGTTTTCCTGATTACCTTGCTTCTGAAGTCTGAGAGACCTGGGGAAAAGGCATAGTGAAAACCCTGGAGGTGTTCAAGAGACGTGGGTGTGGCACTGAGAGACATGGCTTAGTGGGCATGGTGGTGATGAGTTGACAGTCGGTCTAGAGGATCTTAGAAGTCTTTTCCAATCTTACTGATTCTATGACTCTACGATCACCACATCAAACTGTAACCACTTCACCTCTCCTATCATTGCAATCCTAGCCCTGTGGCTCGGGTCCATAGCATCAGGCAACACTCCATGCTTCACTTTATGCCACCACTGAATAGGAGCATCTCTACTCTTTCCCTGTGTTATTTGACATGGGGGCACCCTGCTTCTGAGCAAAGCCCAGCCTCTGCATGAGGCCAACCTGCATTCATCCCTGTTCTGTAGCTTAGGAGAGTTGAGTGGGCTCTCTGTCAGCTCTATTTTGCAGCCTGTGTGTTCTACAGCTGGAGGCAAGGCCAGCAAGGACAGTGAAAATAATCTCCTGGCATCCTCTTCTGCTAGCTTCACTTCATTTCATGAAGAACAGAAAAAAGATCTTTAGCAGTTTGCCAGAATTTAAGACTAGGCAGGGTTTGTATTTTGCTATCAGTTTACCTCTGGTAGTCACATGAATGTTCATCTGTGGCTGCACTTTGTTGTAAGCCATATTTCCCTGTTTTTCCACATAAATCTGTGAATGTTTTTAAAAACTCTGTTCTAAAGATCTGAGGTTTGGTTTTTATATCAAATTCCCTCAGTTTCTCCTTTTCCTTTTATTTATCTATTTATTTATTTTTCCTCCCCTCATCCCAGGTGGGGAAGTGCTTCCAAAACCATGAAGGATGCTCTCTCTATAAAGTACAGATATCAGCTGTTCTGAAATAATCTCAGATGTTTTTTGGTCCCTAGGCACCCCAACAATGCTGAGATGGTTTGACAGTTCATCAGCCCAGCCTGATAGCTCTTGTTAGAGCAATTGGAAGGCTGTGTGGTGGGTGCAGAAGAGTTAGAGGCTCTGAGCAGCTGACGAGACCAGCTGCCCTCTCCCACACCAGTGTAAAGCTGAAAAAATGATTAACCAGGAGCTTTTATTTCCCCTGGTGCCTGCCAGTGCACATTTCCCTTGACGCTGCACTGAGAGAAAGAGGATATAGAAAATGTCACTAATAATGGGGTAGGTTTAGTCCTGATTTTCAAATTGGATATAGTTATATTATGATTTATTTTCATTCTGATTAGCTGTTAGGGTGCCTCTGGGAATATGTCATTGCCATAATTGCAGTGTAGTGTGGATTTGCCCAAGCTAAGTTTAAATGAGGCAGTTAGGGCCTTGGTGGCTGTGAACGCACCTCTGGTTGCAGCCCTTCTCTGCCAAGCTGGTAAATGCATGGCAGGTTAATCCCTGCAGAGCTCTGGGCTGCTGATGTTGGAGCTCGTTGATGAACAGCATACGCCTGTGTATTTATGTTAGACTGCAGCCAGGGCTGTGACTCATACGCAAACAGAAACTTGGAAAGCTTTACTTTAGCAGCCCGAGTGCCACCATATAGATGGGACCCTGATGCCAAGTGTGCTTTTTCAGTCAACCTGATGGCTCTATAGAGCCATCTGCTGCGAGGTGAGGAGACTGGCACGAGAGCCTGAGTTGAGACCTTCTCTTACAATCATAAAATATCCTCGGTAGGAAGGGTCCCATAAGAATCACGGAGCCCAACCCCTGGCTCCACACAGCACCACCCAAAATCCAAACCCTATGTCTGAGAGTGCTGTCCAAATACTCCTTGAACTCCAGCAGTATGCTGTGCCCACATGCCAACTGCCCTCTGGTTAAGAACTATATTATGGCTCCTCCTTGTCTCACTGACCAGTGTGTTCTCATAATGTCCATGCAGTTGTCCTGCAATTATTTATTTGTTATTTCATGCATCAGGGAGCTTTTATGCTCTTTCTGTTTTGTGCTTGTACGGTGGCATCTGGTCCATGAGGGAGATCCATCAATGCTACCATACTGGAAACAGTACTAATTATTACTATTATTATTATTCTCAGTAATTCCAAGTGGAGGCTGCTGTCTAGGTGCCAGAGCTCACATACTTGAGAAGAACAACTAACTGCATGTTTCACTTCAGCACGTGAACCCCTTAATTTTAATATAAGCAAGTCTGCAAGGGGCACATGTATTATCAGTGCCTTTGCAGGCTTGTTTGACTGGATTTTCTCTAAAACCATTTTTTTCCATTTCAAATGTGTGCTTAATATATTCTGGTTCTTATCAGTACCTTCCCTTTCATTACACTGGCTATAGAGGTCTGCCTGCATACAAAACTCTTGCTAGCTGAACATAAAAGTGTAACTAAAACCACTCAGAAAATTGACCTGCATTTGGGACTAACTCAGCTGGAGGCCTTTGAGGTTTGATCACAGAACCTGTCAAACAAGTATCCACAGCAGTTCATGTGATGTTCTTTAGTGTGCTACCTGCTTATCTCAGTCTTTGGAAAAAACTTATGAAGGACAGCAGCTCTCTTACCATGTCTCCAGGTTGTCATTTTAACTCTAGCCCTTCTTGACTGCTCAACAGATAGGAGTTGGATCGTCTGCAAGAGCAGAACTGGAACAACTTAGTAGTGTGCCAAGCCATAAGCAAGGGCACTGAATATCCCTGCTGATGGGTGAGGAGCTGAATGGCTGCAGGACCAAGTGCCCTAAAATTCTGTGGGGAGGGACCATTCTCACAGACAAGTGGAAGAAGATAAGTTTACATGGCTAGTTTTTTAAGTGTAGGAAAATCTACTGATGCTGTCTCTTTTTGATATGAAAGTCTGTCATATCATTTAGATTTCTCACTTGCATTTAAGGTCGATTATTGCATTGCGTTCAAAGCGTAGGAGGTAACTTTTTATCCATTGCCTGTTTCTTGCTCTACTGTCTTTTGCTACAGCCTGACTTTTAATATAATTTGGGGAAATCATTTTATTTTATAGAATATTTCAGAATCTAAACTTAACACTGAAATCCTAGAGGTCCCTTGTATAAGCCCTCAGTTGTCAAAAATCAAGATAAAATTGATAAAAGCTCTGTTGTTACACCCCAACTGCATAGCACATCAGTTCCAATTTGGTGTATGTGTTTCACGTTTATACCTCAGCATTGTGCTGGATTAGAGGCATGCATGCAGGATATTTCTGCTAATTAATCAAGCCAAGATACTCATACTGTTTTGTGGTTTAGCACTGTAGACACTCATAAATGCCACAGTGTGATATGCAGTATGGGACGCTGTGTTGGCTTCACAGCAGTTTGTGTGATGAAGAACGAAGCTAGAAAGGATTCACAAAAAATAATTTGAATACCTAAAATATGTGTAATGGGCTAAAAATGGGCAAACAAAGACACACCATGCAATCACCTCTCCTACGTCACCTGTGCCTGCAGGACTGTCTCCTGTTCCTTTAACATTTTGGCCTGTAGCTTCCATTCTGCAGCTTGATTGAGGAGCTGTGTTTTGAGCAACAGAGAGAAAATTGTTAGATCCTGTTTTATCAGCCGGAAACCCTCAATCTACAGCTTCATATGCTTTTGTTACTGCTGACTTAGTAAGTAGTGATTTAACTCTCATATAAATGTAGCTGGAGAAATTAGGCAAGATAGAATATTTATTGCTATCCTAAGAAGAAGGATACTTGAATATTAGTTCAAAACCTGTTTAGAATGAGAAGTGCAGTATCATATGCTCTAAGAGGTATGATGTTTAACCATATCTTCGTGTGACTTGTGGAGAATGGTTACAACACCTTCTGGTACTGTCATTTCAGTGCAGCTCAGATTAAATTCCTGATTTCCTGTGAACGGTATGTTTTCTTTTGCATTAATGATCAGTACTTAGCCTACAGATGTGTTCACAGTCAGACTTGTGTAAAAAAATCTGCAAGCTTCCAGGAAGGGAATGCATAGTGTCAGACAAAAACAAGCTCTGGTGTCTTGTTGTTTTACAGCTCTTTTTCACTGACGTGCCTTCAGAGGAGACACCCAGCTCAGGATGATAAATGCCTCACTTAGATCAAGAAGGCAGCCCAGGAACAGCTTGATTGCAGTTTCATCCCTGGCTGCTCCTGGGAAGATGTTATCCCTTTTTCAGGGTATTAGTAAAATGACATTTGGACATGTGGACTGCACACTGGAAGATCAGCTGAGGGTAGGAAATTGTAGGAAAGAGATACACAGACTGCTACAGAGTGCAGTTTGAAATCAGCACTTTCAAAGTGCTTAGTAATAGTCTAGCAATTGGTTTGATCTGAAAGCATGAAATATTGATGAATATTGATAAATAAATGAAATATTTATTGAAGCATTAAAGAAATGTCTATTGTCTGCCAAACATGTATCAAGTGTTACTTTTACTGGCTAGGCCAAATGTATTTCAGGAAAAAAATGCAAGTGGCAACTTGAGAAATGATGACATAGGATATAAATAATTTAGTCTGCCACAGAATTTCTTCTGTTGGACTTAATTGTACCATTTGAAATGGCAAAGCTGGACTCTGAAGCATTTTCAGAAAAGTTCTGTTTAAGTCAGTAGAACCCACTTCTATTGGAAGTGAAAGGTGAGTAGAATTCCATGTAGAAAAAGTATTTGATTATAGTAAAAACTTTGGTTCTAAACATTTAGTTAGAAATAACACATTCAAACTACTTAATGCCACCTGGAAAAAGGGAAGAGGACACACCTTACAAATGCTGGTTGAACAGTATAATGAATTCTCTCCATCTCCAGCTATTTGTGGCAAAGAGAGTGAATAAGATTTATTGTACATAAATATATAAACTTAAGCGTATATATATTTATATATAAACTAGAAAAACATTTCTTCCATCCATTTGGCCCTCTGATGCAAATCCACTGAATTATTCACATCTACCCTTTCCTGGACAGGAATGATTTCATTTCTACTTGGTGATTTATTTTGTTTCGAGGATTTGAAGGGTATCTGGATCAAATGATTTAATGAAAAGTGCTTTGAAAACATCCAGAGCTACTCAACCCCAGGCCAGTCATTACTTCCAAGAACTGGGCTTTTATCTGTACTCCTTAAATCTTGTCTAGGGTTACCTTCTTTTCCAGGACATCTGAGGTAATGAAGAGGTCACACCTGCACTGCCATGTCTTCTGCTACAGTATGAAAGATGTAAGAAGGCAACAAAAAGCCACTTCTTTTGCCTGCTAATGAAATTGTTCTGTACTGTTGACCCATATCACTTCTGTAGCCATTGAAAATCTAAGAGTTAATAAACTATTCTGTGAGGGAAACAAGCCTCAGAGAGGTTTGCCCAAATTAACTTGCAGCCTGGGGTCATCTGCAAACACCAAGCTGAGAGAAACTGCATCAGGAGAACCGATACATGTATTAATCGGCTATGAAGTAGTAACAAGGAGCCTGTATAATGAAACGAATAAATACTGAATGTGGTGTTTACAAAACAGCACTTCAGTGAAGTGTGGTGATGTTATACAATATAATTAGAGCTATGATAGCTGCTGAAGGCCCAGGCAGTCATATCATGCTCGTGGCTAAAGGAACAAGAACACTCATTCCCATTTAATGACATAGATCTAGGGAATGGCTTTGTGAAAATTGTTTCTCTCTTTTTTGCTGCCATACTTTGCATATTCCAATTATGTAGACATCTGATCATTACCTTTCAGTCACACACTTGAAAGTCACAGAGGCTTTAAACTGCAATTAACTACAGTTCAGAGTTTGCTTTATGAGTGCTAAAAACATATGGTATGTTGGGAGAGTCACAAATAGTGCTGAGCAGTTATGGGATGATGGTAAAACTGCATCCTTAGATCAGGCTAACCCTGTGGGGGCCATCATGCTGCTATGCAGTGTGGATGATTGCTACTTACATAGGGGACCATATTCTTGCTGTATGTGTAGAATGAATTGTGCAAGCAATAAGACAATTTTGTAAGAGATTCTGCCTACTGAGCTGTGGTTTGCATGCTCTGCAGGAGAGGACATCTCTCCCTAAATGAAATAAAGAAATTTTGTATAGGAGCAAAGATTCCTGTGTGGAAGAACTGTGTAGGAAAACATCAAAGTGAGCCTCCAAGGAGTAATCAAATAGATAAAGAATACAGAGATTTTCATTTAAAGACATCTGAAAAGTCCTGCAGCAAAACTCATGTACAAGGATGTAAAAATTTGTATGCAGAGAATTGGTATGGACAGGATGCTGAAGAAAGGGCTCTGACTCTGTGCAATTGAGCTAATGAGAGGTAACCCTAAATGAAAGGACTCAGTCAAAAACATCTTGATTTCATACATATATATATACATGCATACTCTCACACAATAGCTGAATGGGTGGGAGAAAGAGCTTGGCATTATGAGTGAGGTGGGAGACTAGTGTAGGCCAGCTATCTGGGTGCTGGGCTGACTGATGAATTGGGATGTGCTGATTATGCCTTGACTCATTGCATGGCTTTTGGCTAATCACTTATGTTCTCCAGCTAAAGCTACCTTGCTCCAAAGTGATGTTACTAATATATCACCTGACTCCCTCTAAGGCAAGTCTTTTTGAGCATTAGCTTCAGTAGTGTGAAAAAGTCTTTGAACACAATGCATCTCATTATACACCCACAGCTTAAAGGCTTTGTAGCTTGTTTTTGAATCTGCTGTTTCATAGATGCCAGTCATATGTTCAGCAAAGCCAGAAAGGAAATCTCCCACTCCTGTATGTATGTAGATGGAGATGACATCTCTTTCCAGACATGGGGATGGAATAAAAATCCTCTCAGAGTTCTCTGATGCAACTCCTGAGCTAGTCAGAGGACTGCTAGGGACTACAGCTTTCTTTCAGCTGTTGAGAGCCTGGAAGTTCCCTATGCATAGCCTTGGCTGCAGCCACTGCTGAGAAAAGGATCTGTGTGCCAGTGAAGAATGTTGGTAGATGTTAGGTAGTTGTGAAAATGCTAGGCAGCCTGAGGAAGTACATTTTGAACCAACATGGAGAGGGAGGCTCTGCAGAAGAGAATCACAGAATATATATCTATATATATTATATAGATATATATTATATATAATATTATATATTACGTATAATATATATCTAGAATTGGAAGAGACCCACAAGGATCATTGTGTCCAACTCCTGGTTTCACACAGGACTGCCCAAAAGGTGGACTTGACTGCATCAGCTCCTGGTCACCTCCATTTATAAAACTGGACACACAGAAGGTTGACTGGGGAGACTCTGAGCCTGGTGGGATATTGGCCTTCCACTGATTCAATCACAAGCACAAACCCTGCTTGTTTAAATGTGATCATTTACCATGTGAAGAGATGGAGTATCAAATATCAGAGCCTTTGAAAAAAACTGATGGCATCATTTGACACATTGTGACAAATCAGCAGAGCAGTAGTGGTGAGTTGGCTGGAGAAGTCTGTGCTATAACCTACTGCTCACAATCTTCAAAATCTATAAATGCTCCTGAAAATAGCCTTTCAGATGCTACTGCTTTGCATCAAGCACTATCAGAAGTAATAAATCCTTGTCTTATGCTACCCTGCTCCTGTGTCATGGCTTGGACCAGAATAACCAATATATTACTGAAATATTATGCAGCTCTCATCTTGACCTTCAGTTAGGTAAAAGACAGATAGATTAGCACGATAAGTACATATTCCTTTTCCTTCTGATGTCGCTCCTCTGCTTCCTTCATCATTTCCTGAGACTGCTCCAACTTGGCATCCACCAATTTCTGCTGAAGTTCTCTGTGCTTAAATATTTTGTCAAGGTGCTGCAAGAGAATAAATTCTGCTGAATGTGCAGGTTTAGTTGTGTACACAGACCTTCATGCTCATGCATGCACAGCTATCTACTGGGACACACAGAAGACAAAAATATTGCAAAGCAGGAAGTTTCCCAACCCACTGCAGTTACAAAAAAGCCATGGTGCTGATAAGAACAAACTGTGCCAGAATTTGCATAGGAAAGGAAATGTGTTTACATCATCTATTTTGATGGGTAACAAAACAAAAACAACAACAACAACAAACAATTAGCATCTTTTCCAGTTCCACAATACGCGTATAAAGTCATCTGTATAATCCAATATAGTTGTGGATTATAAAGCTGCCCATCAATTACAAATATGTTGGGGATGCACTTTTTTTTGGAGCTGCTAAGTGGCCTGTGGTTCTAAGCCATTGTGTGGGTAAATGTGTGATGACAGGCTGCACCTCCAGTTCTTAGGGAGTGCGTGTGCAGCTCCTATTGTATATATATGCCTAGTACACCCCATTTGATCTGGCTTCACATAGATAATGTGGGCTTGGAGTGCTTGGGTAAATGAGAGGGGATGTGGGACAGATGTGCCAGAGGTCTCCTATGGCCTGTAAAACTTCTCTCTCCGCAGTGACTTTCAGGAGGTGAGTGTTGCTGATTGCACTCTTCACTGATGCTGCATTTAGATAGAGCTCAATATTCTGAGCACATCCTTCTGCTTTACATTTTCCTCTCATAGAAACAATAAGACAGGAATGCACATTTCCTTCATTCAGTGCAAGATTTCATACAAGATGCAACAGATTTAGGAACTAGTGTATTGCATCGGGCATTCCAGATTGTGAGGACAGGTTACTCATGTTTTATTCAGTATGATAATGTTGTCTGGTTGCACTGAGCCACACAATAAGCACATTTGGAAACAATAAAAAGACCCACTGCAATATGTGCTAGTGTTTGTCATAAAATCACCACAGAAATGGGAGCTTGGGAATTTTCTGAACTGCTCTAATGTTTATATTTAGAGATGTAATTTTCAATTCATCTATTATCTACTTGATTTTACTGTAAACGTTATTCCTGCAAAGAGGAGTCTATTCCAATGCAAAAGGTCTGCTTTACCCTGGTTATTAGCTTTGTTTCTGGGGAAGGGTCACCTCATCAACCTGTGTCTGGGGGGATCAGAAGTACATCTGGCAGTGGGCTGGGCTGTCCAAAAAGATAGAACTGGGAGGTGCTCAGTGAGCACTCTGGAGTCCTTTGGGATTTGGGGGGAGCAGTGAGTGAACGGGGGTAGAGATTAGCAGGCAGCTTGCCATCTTGCTGCATGAGAACCTCAATCCCTTTCCCCATTACCATTAGAGCTGCCACGAGTACTGCATGCAGGGTGCCATCGGGTCAGCTTTTCACCCACATTTTCCATGTGGCATCCTGCTGGTTTGATGCATGTAGAGCCCCAACTGGACAGCAAAGCACAGCAGAAGCTACCCACGAGATGCCCAAATGATGGTCAGTGGGGATGTCATGTTCAGAGTGCTTTCCACTTCCCTCCATGGAGCGGGGTTTGCTGCTGGTCCCCGTGGGCATTGCAATGCTCACCTCTTCCCGCAGCTCATACTGGTCAATAATGCTTTTCAGCTTCTCTGCCAGCTCTGTGTTCTCCTGGCAGAGCTTCATGTTCCTCTCACTTTGCTGCTCAATCTGAGCCTGGATTTCACTCAGTGTGCCCTGGAAATGGTTTGTTATTTCTTTCCTCTTCTCATCTTCCTCCCGTGCCCGCTGAATTGTTTCCTCCTGTATTCAAATGGGAGAGAAGACAGGGTAAGTAAGATGCATAATAAAAGCGGTTCCAAAAGGAACTGTTTCAGAGTAGCACAAGGCTACTCTTTGAAGGATTATCTGTGTTTATATTCCTCTTCAGAGATTTTCTTGCTTTCATGTGCTCCAACATTAGGCATGATGCTAAATTTACAGAGCAAATTATACAGTGGTCTTGAAAAAATTATAGAACTAAGAATTTGCATGTGTAAAGATGGATGTAAAGCACAGATTCAGATCAAAGCAATCCCTGAAAAGGGGATGTTCATGCATGCCTTAATTCATGAAACTGCAGCACAGCTTTTGCTTTGGAATAAGGTATTTAGTGAAAGTCATTGAAAGCCCTTTTATCAAATTTCTTTTTTTATTTAATTTAAAATTCACTCTTTAAAACGCATCCTTTTAACTAGAAATCCTCGTATCAGGTTTATGGAATTTGAGGTTTCCACTTTTCAAGAGGGATAATTTTCTGTAGAATCCCTTTGCAATCCTCCTTCCCTTACCTTCTAACTGACAGTTATTTGAATGGGTAGAATCAAAGAAAGATCGTGGGCTGGCTCTCAAAGAATCAAAGCAGAGAATCAGAACCTGGCTTGGAGAAAGATTGATGGATTATGTTTTCACCAGTTATTGCAATTCTGTTTTGGATTTCGTTTTATTTATGAAAGAGAATGGGGAAATAATTTAGATTCATTGCTTTCAATCACAAAGTATGGACAATTTTATTTCCCGCTTGTTTACTTCCAGGGCAGCCTGCCCTGATGGAGAATGCAATTCTCATACGAAATGGCTGGTATCATATCTACTGTTGTTACAAATCATGCCAGAACCATTTTAAGAAATCTCTCCACAGCATGCAAATGGCACACTCTAATAAGGTTTTGACTATTTCAGCTATTCATTTACATAAAAGTCTCTGATAACACTGCATATGCATATTTTCTGTAAATACATCTGAATAAAGCTTTTGCTGACTCGAGTGAGGTATAATTTATATCATAAATGTGACAGAAAGGGTGTTGATTCAGGTCCTATTCTTAAAGCAAGTTGAATACCAAGTGCCCCAGCTCTATGCCCCAGCTCTACTTAGCATGCAAATCACAAGAGTGATCTTGAACAACTGCTGCTCAAGGTAGAGGACATTTGTCCTTTTGCTGCCAGGATGTTATAGAGATGACAATGCCTTGGATGACAGGAGGAAAACTGTTGGAGCCATCTGCTAATTATACAATAATGAGCAGAAATCACTCCAAAATCCTGTTTGTGCTCTGCACTTTACACAAGAACATGTGTGTGTGCTCACAAACAGAATACAGCGAAGTGTGACTCCAGAAGGGCTTCCACTCAGAAGAGGTGGAATTATTGAGTGAACTGGGCAATGGCTCAGGGGTACGGGATTCCTGCTTCAAAACCTGGTGCCAAAATTGAACACAAAAACTTGAGTTCCTTCATAGATTTAGTTAAATCAGAACTTTGTTTTACCTCTCCTATGCTGTTTAAAAACTGCTCATGGCTCTTTCTTCTCTATGGCATAGGCGCAGCCCTGAGCAAGGAGAAAAGCAACAAGGTGCCCTCCCTTCAAGAAGTCAAAGGCAGACTGAGAAACTAAACTTGTATGTCTGGAATCTTATTTCCATGGCTTTGAAACATCCTTCTTCAAAAATATTTTTTTTGTTTTAATGGACCAAACAGTGTCATAGCATAATGTCATTGCTCTGATTTAAAGCTCACTGAAGTAATAAATCCAGCTGAATGTAAAATGAAAAACTGGTGTCTTGCACGTAAGTCACACTAACAACTCTGTTATGAGGTGAAATTAGATATCTTGAGAGTAGTAATCATGCAAATATATATATATTTTAAGAAAAGGGGATGTGTTACACAGAGAATATTGCATCCTGCTCATCCTTCCTTCTGAGTTGAATAATTATAAAGAGTACATGCAGAATGCAAAAATTCATGGTTAAGGATACCGAAAACCAAGAAGCCTCCTGATGCACGGCAGAATATTTATCTTGACCTCTTCTCCTTTGGAGAACAAGCCAAAAGATATCTGTCTGTGGGAGCTAGGGTGTGCCCCACAGGGACTCCAAGGAGCCTTGAAGGGAAACAAGAGCTCTCTGTGCCTGGTGCTGTGCTGTACCACTGAGCTGCCTGCAACACTGCCACTCCTGTATGACTCTAGATTCTATTACCTTAAGGTAATATGGGCTCTGCCTCAAGAGTTTGCTCCTCTTCATCTCCTCACTTGGGCAGGCCCAGTCTGATAGCCTCAAGCCATCAGCATCACCCAGACTATTATCACAAGGCTACAGCCCCAGCTCTTTCTTTAGACTTGGCCCCATAATGTGGCCTTTTTTTTTTCCAGTAGGTGCCTTAATCTCTCCCATTTCAAGACTCCACACTGTTAAGAAGTTCCTTTAAAAGGAAGTTTGTCCCCATCTGGGAGGACTGAAGACTGCCCTCATTTACTGCTGTTACAGCCCTTGTAACTGTGTGGAACCCAGTGCCCCTGCCTTGCTTGGTTGTGGGAGCAGAGAAGAGTGTTTTTGGGGCAGTGAGTTCTTGGCATCACCATGGTGAATTTATAATGATGCGAGAACCACACTGTCACACTCTGTTTAATCTTTAAACACTTCGAAATTAGGCATTCAGTTCTAATGAGAAAAACAAATAAAAACAACATTGTAAATTCTTTTTTGATTTCCATTTGTGGAAGACTAAAATCCAGACTTAAACTATTGTTCCCTTTCCTCTGCCCTTAATCTTCGTACTATCTGCCCTATACAAGGTATACTCTTGTGTCTTATAGCAGTACTGCTATCACTCTCCAGTGTTTTACTGCTAAAAATGTAAAAAATGCATTGAATTAAACTAAAATTAAACTGTAAAACTAAGACAAAGGTATTCTGTAGTTTGGATTTAGTGCTGGAATGTGAAATAATCTGCAAATAGAAGTGCAACGTCATCTCTAGTCCTTATTTCTCTCTAGGACAAATCAAGACAACTGTTAATCTGCTGAAGCCCTATCAGCAGAAATGATGTTACTGCAGATTCCACATTTTCAGTGAGCTCTACTCACTCCCAGGCAGCCTGATCTGAGCTTCAGGTCTGCAGTTTAGAGCCAAACCCATAATCAAAACTGTTGACTGTTGTGACATTTGTATGAAAGTCATTGCTTAATGCCTGTAGCAGGAAGGACAGGAGAGATTTATGTCACTACAAGACATCAAGTAGCCACCAGACTGTCAGATAATTGGCAGAACATGAACACAATGCAAAGAAATGAGTTGCTATTGCTCATAGCAGAGCTGTTCTCCACTGCAGTGGGAATATATTCTGTTATTTTCTGAACATTTATTTTGCTTTTCTTGGAGGGAGAATTAAACATCTGTTTTCTGCTGTGAAATGCAACAGCAAAGAAATAATCTGAATAGCTGGACTGTAAGTAAGTGAAATTTTGAGGCCAGTATCAAACACTAGCCAGCAATTATCTTCTCTGATGCACTGTGAATTTTCAGTGCAGCTCTGCATTGCATATTCATCGCCACTTGGCTGCACCAATCTCCAATTAATGGGAGCTCCACACAGCAGATGAGTAAAGATGACATTTACATGACGTGATGTGCATATAATGTGCCACATGGCAAGTCAGAGGACGTTCGTGATCTGGGCAAGCCAGGTTTCTCCTTTGCTATTAAAATGATACAATCTCTGACAATTTTTATTTTCCAGTCTTTGGAATATAATCAGAAGTGCTAATCCCAAGAGCTAAAAAAAAATTATGAATCAATTTCTCTGTTCTGCCAAAGCCAAAATAAAAATTACTTAAGCATGAAGTTTTAAGAATAACACACTGTGGATTATCCTGTTTTAGGCCCTCTCAGTACAGTCATAAGCAAAAGAAAATTACACTCAAATAAACTGAAGATGAGATTCTGGAGACTCACAGAACTCCAGAAGGTAAAGCCTAAAGGCAAATATTCCATTAACTGTCTTAAAATTGTTAGAGACAAAAACGGAGAAAAACATCAAATGTCTTCTTTTATTAATTCAATCCTAATTCATTCTTCAAATATATTGTCATACTGACTTATTTAATTATTATTTTATTTTATTTTATTTTTAAATGCTAAAAAGGCAGGAACGAGAGGAAAAAAAATATCCAGTGTTTCCTAAAAGTTTTCTGGCTCCATAGAGAGAAGTGGCCAAAATTTGGACACTTCTTACTGAAAGATTGGTTTGGGCATTTTCTGCCTCCCTGGCATAGCTACAGGGGAAAAAAACAGAACAGAGTGAGAAATTGATGATTTTATTCCGGAGACACCGTCACAAAGCAAAACAGCCCCACAGATGTGAAGATGTTGGAAAGAGATTTTTCTAAATGTAAAGATGAATTGCATTATAAACTATATGCAAGCTGAAATGAAAGATGATATTCTCTAATAGAGTGATTAGTAAGCATATGGCAGCTGGGAAGATAGTGCAAGTCATTCAAGAAAACCAGTTTCAAATATGTTTTCTGAATATAATCAGTTTTTCTCTATACCTCAGTTTTCCACTACCTTGGACATAAATCTTAAGTCATAAATTATAAGTCTTAGATCACTCCAAAGCAGGTTTATATTTCTACTGAGAGATTTTCCCAAAGAAGGTTTGGTAGATCAGTGTGGATTGATACTGAGGTTTTGTACGAATAGCAGGCACAAATTTAACTGATGGTTTCAAGCTACCATGACTGAGTGCCTGGAGATTTGCCTCTAGTTTGCCTATCCATTAAACTGCCATCCACCTACTCATGCACTGCATCTGTTTAGACATTGCCATTCCCTCTCACAGATACATTCTTATCAACATACAATAAAAGTTGAGGTTAGATCCTAAAGGCCTGCTTCTGAGTTGGTAAAAATGAGTAGAAATCTGTTGATAGAGGTTATATGAGGTATGATTCTTGCTGCTGAGAATTCATGTGTGTAATACTACAGATGATTATATCCCCATTAAGAAGGATTTTTAATAGACCAAAGCAGAAGCTTTTTGTATGACGCCACTGTCACTGACATTCACTCAAAATAAAAAAGTAAGATCACAACAGAAATGTATTTCCTGAACGTAAGATTTTTCAAGAATAGTCATATTATAAATTTCACGTTTAAATGGCATGATGCACCAAGGGGTAGGCAGATGTGATACATGGATCCTAGCCTTTTGGCACTCCTGAACATTTCCATTTTGAACTGGTGTTCATAATCCAGACAGCTTTCACGAGCAGTGTCAGCATCCTTACTTTCTTGAAGACTGATGTCTTGAAACAAGTGTTCAGATTGACAGATATCACAGATCACTTGAAAATGCCTGAGTACTCAAATAATGCAAAAACAGCTGCCAGATTTCTATGAGTCCTGTGTAGCAAATCTGGTGTTTGTATTTCTCTGATGATACACATGCATTCACATTTGCAGTCTTGGGAATCTGAGAAGATACTTTCTGTAAGACCTGATGCAGCTTAAAAAACACCCTTCTCCAGTGGTCTTCTCCACTCTCCACTCCACTTCTCCACCCTCCATGCCAGCGTGTTGAAGCTGGACTGAAAGTTGGTGTGGCAGCCAGGCCTGGATCTGGGTGAATGACCCTTTTGGGAGGGAAAGAGTGATCTGCCCCAGCAAATGTGGCATAACTGGCCTGTTGGCACTACTAGTTTTCCCTTTGCTGATCCACCTGGTAACATGACAAGGACTTACAGCTAACACTGGTGAGACTGGAATCACAGGATCACTGGCTGAGGTTGGAAAGGACCTCAGGAGACTGCCTGATCCCATTTGCCTGTTCAAGCAGGGCCACCCAGAGCAGGTTGTCCAGGTAGCTTGTGAAGATCTCCAAGGAGGCGACTGCACAGCCTCTCTGGGCAAACTGTACCAGGTTTTGGCCGCCCACTCAGACAGAACCACCTGTGTTGTGGTTTGTGCCCTGAATTCTTGTCCTGGCACCAGGAACCACTGAAAAGAGCGTGGCTCTGTCGTCTTTGCACCTTCCATTGAGGTATTTATAGATATTAATGAGATCCCTCCTGAACCTTCCCCAGGTTGAACAGCCCCAGTTGAACTCAATGCTCAATAAACAACTACAACACATTCAACATTCAGAAGCACTTGGACACTTCCAAAGGAAGAAAAGAAGGGCCTTGATGTAAACAGGCATAAAGACTGGAGCATACGTTATTTGTCTAGAGTTTGCTTACAATTTGGTACTGAAGCGTGAGGTGAGAAGGCATTGGTACCTTCTTCAATCTCTGCTGGGTACCCTGATGTAGCCAACACTCACCTTGAGGGTTTTGTTGTGCCTCTGGAGCTCCCGGCACAGGCTCTCAAGCTTGCTGCGAGCAAGGATGGCTCGGCTGTGCTCACTCTGCAGCTGATCCTTCTCCTTGGTGATCTGGGCCTGCCTCTTCTGCAGGTACTTGAGCTGCTTCTGCTCAGCACGATGCTCCTCAAGCTGGGCAGGGAATGGGAATTAAAACAAGTGGAGAGGAGAAGGAAAGAAAAGAAAGTGAATTTATCTGAAGGGAAGCTGTGAGGTTTTATTTTTGTTGTAATTTTAAGAACTGGAGCAGTCGGTAGCTCTTTACACAGTGAGATTTCTCTAGATCATGAGATAACTCAATAGCTGCTCATTCTGTTTCACAGCTTCATGAAAAAGAACTCCCAGATTTCCTAGAAACCCAGAAAACTGTTAAAAAAAAAACAAAAACAAAACAAAACAAAAAAAACAACAGCAGAAAAAGCATGGGAAACCAAGGAAAGAGCTTGCGCAAAAGCTTAGCTGCCGTTGGAAGCAGAAGACCTGTTGTGGTCTAACGCTGTGGGAGGCTACATAGCACACAGCTGTTCACTCACTATCCCCCACAGTGGGATGGAGAAGAAAACTGAAAAGTGCCAGAACTCGTGGGTTGAAACAGGGACAGTTTCTTGTGCACCACAGCCTCCTCGCTGGCAGGGCAGTTTGGGAAGCTGAAAAGGCCTTTACTTACTGCAAGTGCTGCTCAACTGAAAACACCGGTGTGTTATCAATGCTATTCTCATCCTAAAACCTAAAACTCAGTGCTTTACAAGCTACTAGGAAGAAAATTTATTCAACCCCAGCCAAACTAGGACAAGGCTTTTCAGGGAAGAATTTCCCCTGAACATCCAGTGGGCATCTCCCCTCCTCTTTGCCAGTCTCCTCTCATTCATGGATTGTCCGTCAGTTGTGTTTCTGAAGGCCCCTGCAATGAGGATGGGTTACAGGGAATCAAACCTCTTTCTGGCTCTTTGGCTCCACCTAAATTCTGAGGAGTATAAAGCCTGGCAATTGTTTCTGCAGATGTGTAGGACCTGTGTTGCCCGAAGGGCTGGATGGGAGCACCATGTTGGAGGTGGGAGGAGAGGGAGCATCAGAACTGCCGATAGCAGCTCCACAAAGATCGGTCATTCCCTCTAACACATGCCTGTTACTGCCTGTTGGACAAACTTGCTGTACTGCAAGTTAACACTGTAACAGAAATGTCCAAGAAGCATTTCACCTCTGAAGCTTTTGATGATTTCTTCTTCCACCCCAACCTGCAGCAACCCTTCTCTCTATTACAGGCATGTATGCATTAAGAGATGTTCCTAAAATCCAGATGTTTTCCAGTTACTCATGAGCTACAATATGAAAACCTTAATAATAATATTTGCTATTAGGGCACATTATTTAACAATATGATACTGCTGGTACTGATTATTAACCCCAGTATGACTGGGAAAGTTTATGAGTGTAGAGAAATGATGTGATGCTCAGACAAGACAGATGGCAGGAATAATATGTAGCACTTTCTCTGCCCAAGGATCTGTTTTCTGCAGATGTTCTGTGATTTATGCTTATAGTATGGAGCTCTGCGTATTATCAATCACATCACTGCTAGTCATACCACAAACCAAAGCAATCACCAGCTTGGAGGATATTTACAATTTATGCTCAACTTTCAGCATGAGTTCTGTGTATTTTTACCCTGGAATAAAGGCCTCTACATCTAATCAAGTCGGAATAATTCTTCTAGTATTGTAGGGAAAAATAGCCTCTCTGAAATTAAAGACTTGTTTTCCTTTATAAACTTGATTTTGGCCCCTTTTTCTTCCCTTTTAAAACACAAAAAAATGTTCTTTTTCTTCACATTTTTCATGTGCAGCCCGTGCTTAGCAGATAATGCTTTGTCCAAATTTAAGATGACTTGCTCAAGCTGTGTTTGAGGTAGGGGATTCAGAGTGAAATAGCTCTTAATCACGATACCAGAAGCTTCCAAGCATCTTTTGGTTTGTTTTTTGTTGTTGTTGTTTTCATTAAAAATGCCTAGCTCTAGAAACTTAGGTTTGAAAGTTCTTAGAAATATCTAGGATGTGGCATTACTTTTGTACTGAAGAAGGAAATTCACTGGTAAATAGGAATGACAAAAGAGCACCACAGATGAATTTTTAAAAATAGGTAATGAAATATCAGCTAAAATTCACTTCAGGTAGAAGGAATTATGATTTTTGATGGCTGACCTAGTTAGACAAACTTCAATTTAAGAAAAAGAAAAAAGCAGTTTTATTGTGACCCCACTGTATCCTGGCAATACTCGTGTCTATGTATCAGTGTATAGTTGCACCCAGAACTTGAGAGACACTCGGGATTTCTGAAAACAAACCATTCACGTGGAATTCCATAATGACTGTTTGTAGGCAAAAGCTAAAATAAAGCACAGTCTTCTCTACCAGCTCCAACCACTCTGGCTGCATCAGAATGAGCAGATAAAATGCTCTCTGGTGGCAAGTAGTAGGGCACAGCTTATGTCCAAACAGTTCAGTTGCTTTCCTCCCTGTAGGTATGGCCTCATTCATACCAGCAGGGATGCATCCCACACTGTTTTCTGATGCCATCCATTTTTGCATGTACTCGTCATGATAGGCTGTGCCAGAGCATGTGCTAACACTTAAATAGCAGATAGCTGAGTGACTGTGGGGACATAGTGCTATGTTGTGTCCCTACATTTGAGCAGCATCTTCAGTCAGAGCCAGCAGCATCACCTCATACTCTGAAGCCATGGCCAGCACCCAGCTCACTCAGCCTGGCACAGTGCTGCTCTTCCCTGAGCTGTGCTGCAGAAGTGCTCACATCACTACATGATTAACTGGACCAGGGAACTGATACAGCTGGAAGATAACTCAGCAAAAGCAAAAAGTGACCTGAAGTGTGTGATGGAGATGGGCAACAGGGAGCAAACAGAATGGTAGCTGCTAACAAGCTGTGCTGAGTGAGTAGTGTAAGGGTTTTTCCCACAAGCCTTGAGTTGTATTAATTAAAGGATTTATTCTAGTGACATTGCACAGGATGTCAAAACTGAATGCATTTTTGCTTTAGTTCCTTTCTCCTTCATGGGTTATTGGCAATGTGGGCCATAATGTGTTCAGTGCTCCAACAATGCCCGAATGCAATGGAGAGTACATCAGAGAAATCCTGTTTCGGTTAATTTGTGGGCACAAAGTCCCTTTAGGCAAGGGCTCAATTATAAACTGCCAGAGTCCAATTTATGAAATCAGAGAATTTTACATGGAAAAAAAGGAAAGCTGAACATTGCATTATGATGAGACATGGACACATCTGTGCATAAAACCAATTACAAAGTCAATGTTCTGCTTGGCATGTTTTTCAGTCTCCGTAAACTGTAAAATGCTGCAGCCATTTCACATGTGAGATTTTCACAGCTTAAGGACATAGAGACCTTTAACTACTGAGAAGAAAATCCTTTATCTGAAACTAACCCATCCTCATTGTGGAGAGAACAGAGAAGGGGAGTCAGGTCATCATTACAGGTCTAGCATTATGGTTCAGGGGCTTTTACAGTTAATTTCACTATACTTTGGTTTCTCTGATGATTGGCTTCAATTCTCTACTTCCTGATTTTCTACACTCTGACACTTCATACTGCATGTTGTTTCCAGTTTGATCAGATCAGTGATATGCAAGGTGAAGGAACGCCCATATGCAGAGGTATGCAGGGCTCCTTGCGGAAAAGGAAAGCAGGAGTGCCTGCCACTCTGAGGTGCTGTGAGCTTGAGCTCATCTCCAGTGCATGGGCTGATGGGGTAGTGTAAAACAGTTCCATAGGTCCATTTTTTTTAACCTATTGAAGGAATCTATCCCATCTTTTTTAGCTATCTGGACATACTGGCAGTGCCTGAGTGCCAGCATGAAGGTTGTGGAGGACTTGAGCCTGTTGAATCCCTATGGCCTGAGCAAGAAAGGCAGATTTACTGTAAGGATCGATGTATGTGCAAAGAAAAGGACTGTTTTGTTCAAAACATGCCACTAGAATAAAAGCTCTTTTTTTTTTTTTTTTTTTTCCTTTTTCTTTTTTTCCTTTGCATCTTCTTTAACTTACCTAACCAAACAGATTTGGTAACTATGGATTAAAAATTGATCACACTATTCCAATATTTGTTACATGAAGATCTGATGAACACCAGTGAATACTGTAGAGATGCATAAAATGGGTATTTAGTTTAAAATAGTTGTGAATAATCTTTTAACGAATGCAGTTTTTACAAGAGAAGAAACATACATCCCTTGAAGAAGGGAGAGATGTTTAGAGGATTAGAATAAAATCATCTTCTCCCTGAAAAATAGAATTATGCTCACAGTATTAAAATGTATGTAGAAATGTATGAAAGACATGTTAAGAATAAAAGTGAATAAACAGATTTAATAAAGACATTTTTCGGGTGCTGTGACTATATAGCATCCCAGTGACTCCATGCTTTCAGTTATACCTCCTTATGCCATAAATATTTACACAGATTTATCTTTAAGTACAACTATTGTCTTACCAATTTTTTATCCCTTTCCAAATCTAACTCAAATTCCAGATTGTTTTCCTGACTTTTTACTCCCCCCCTTCTCTCACTCATAAGTCATTATTTAACCCCGACAATAAGTTAACAGGACAGATGCTTCTACTAGGTGAGGTTGGGCTGTGCTGAATGGTGTGTGTTTATGGGTTCCTCTCTAAACAGTTAGGAGAGAACCTGTGCTGCACTCACCAGCTCAGCATACTTCTTAAATAACAGGTCCAGTTTCTCTTCTGGAGTATTCAGCTTGTTCAAGCTTTGCATCAGTAGGGTGGCTTCCTTTCCTTGAAAAGAAGCAGAGATTTGATGGTAGAGATAGTTTGTAGCTGACATACTGTTACGAAATTGTTGTGTGTGTTTGTTTTTATGCATGAATTAGTATATTCATTTTTTACGAATGAACTCAGGGAGGAGAGGGGTGCTTTTTTGAAGGAAGGGGACCATCTTTACTGTGAATTCCTCGTGTTTATTTTCTCCCAGTAAGAACAAGCACGCTTGAATTTGCTCCCGTTTCATACCTCAGTAATGTATTTTCTTCCAGCAAAAATTATTGGCAAGTGAAATGACTTTTTCCTGTATAATCTTTTTTTTTTGTTTAATATTTTTGTAACATGACTGGGTCACATATGTAATTCCTTTGCAGGAGTGAAGTGACAGAAACTGGGATACTCTTGTGCTGCTCAACCCCTACTCGGATAGCCAGGTTTGAGAGTGGTGTAAAACATTTCCCTGAGTTGGTGTAATGAATATGGATACCAGAGACAGTCTAATAATTATCTTGGCATACATCACTAAATCTGTGATGATAGGCTGTGTAGACAGTCATGTATTGCTTCCATGCTGATACTTTTTGGTATTCATTTCAGCCCTCAGTTTGAGCTAGAGCTTGAATACTGCTTGTTCTTAGAATACAAAATGTCCCTGGCCTCCCTGGAGCTGAGGATGGCTGTGGTAAATGAGGATGGCTTGGACATATTTTTCCATATGTACCTCTTCCCAAAAGGCTGGGAGGGAAAATTCACCTTCATCTTTAGGACAGATTCTTTCTACTTCAAGTATAGTGCAGCCCAGAAGTACTACTTGTGGAGAAAATCCACTATTTCAGACTAAGTTATCCCTATAGCACTGGTACAAATAAATTCAAAGGAGCTATAATCGATCATGGAGTAAAAACTGTTGCAAGTGCAGCTGGAGAACTGTACTTTAGTAGTGTTTCCACTCATCTTGGAGACGTACCAACAAGCAAACCACAGCCAAGGATATTGGAACAGGGGAACTGTACTTTACACGGACGTCCAAGGAATCTGGAAAAAGAGCCCTGTTTCTCTAAGTGCACTCTGCAGTGATTTTTCTGTAGGATTAGAATACTGTTGGGTTTGAGTTCTCATGCAGAAAAGAGTCAAAAGAGTGGAAGTTATGTATAAGTGGAAACAAACTGCACGTTTGCTAGACTGGGATGCAGCTACATTGCTCTCTAGTGGCTGTCCAGTAGAAAGGATTTTAAGCTCAGCTAAGAGGATCCTGCAGTGGCCAAGAGGACCAATGGCTATGCTTAGGGAGAACAAGCTTACTGATTTATTGCAAACAGTCTGTGATGAGTCTGCTGAATAAAATATAACACATTGAATTTGTTCTACAATTTCCCTCTTGGCCACTCCACGTAGTAGCGCCATTAGCACAGTTATGACCGGTAAGAAATCATACCTGAGGAAGTAGGAAAATAAATGAATGTACAGGGGCATAAACAAGAGATCAGATGTTCCTTTGTCTAAGAAGCAGTACTGTTCAGCGTGTCTTCAGACTTGCAGCTTTGGCCACTAGTTTGGGTGGACCAGTAGTCTATCAGCCATGTGATAAAATCCTAAGCTTTCATCCCTGTACAAGGATTAATGTCTGATAAAGCCTACTGTATCTTTTGGGTAACTGCTGACAATTTTTATCAATTAGAAAAGTTATAACAGTCACTGTAGTTTTTAGTGGTCCCTATTAGCCATAGCAGAGGCCTAACAAGGGAAAGAGTGAAGTCCAAGGAGGTTTTACCTCTGTTAGCAGAGCAACTATGTAAGTACATAAGCACTTGCCTAGTCCTTTCAGTATTTTCTTCTCCAGCTTTTGTTCCTTGCTGGTGCTGGGCTCCTTTGCTCTTGAAGCATCTCCAGGAGCTGGTTTGTCTTTCTCACTTTCTTCATTTGTATCCTCATACTCTGCATCCTCCATACTGCCCGCATCTCCCTTCTCCGGCCTTTCAGTTCCTGCTGTAGTGCCTTCCTTCTCCATCAAACTGGCTGCAGACCCATAGGTTTTAATAATGTCCTCCAGTTGCCGACTCAGCTCCTCTGAGATGTCACACCTGGCCACCTCAGGATGGGAGCTGGTTTGGTCTGTGGGGGACAGGGGCTGCGAGCTGGGGACAGGTTCCTCCTTGCTTTGCCCTTGGATGTCCTGCCTAGGTGAGGTGGGAACCTGCTGCTGCTTCTCAGTGAACTGGTCATTCTCCATGCTTGGTGCAGTACCTGACAGCAAAATAACAGAGTTAATTTAAAAGCAGAGAGATTAGTCTTCTCAATGATCACAAGGCTTGACCAGGAAGTGAGTGATCTGATTTGGCATGGCAGGTCATCCTCTAACTTTGGCTTGATGGATTCAGCATGCTGAAACAAGCCACCAAGTTGATTTACCTGTTGGGAGAAAAGTGAATTTTACATCTACCAAGAGGAGAAGCCTGCAGAAAGATAACACTAACAAAACACAACCTCTTGCTCTTGTTGCAAGTGACAAAGCACAAAACTGCACCAGAGCCATCCATACTACTTCCTTCCCTGAACACAGTTTGCCACTTGCTTGTTTTTCTTGATTAGTTTCACCTGCAACGCTGGTTACTGACAAGGGCAGCTTCACTTCAGATTTGCATCACTTTCATTTCCTGTTTCTCACCCTCCAGCACATCTTAAGTTGACAATCAGGAAAAAGGAAGTTTTTAGAAGAAGCTGGAGAACTGAAAATTGTGCTCTTGGAGAGCCCAGCATGGTGCCTGATATGTGAATGGCCCTGCCTGGCAGTGACATAGTAACAGCAACAAACAGTTCATAATAAGATAAACAACTACAAACCACCTTTCTCTTGTACTTGCAGTGCACTGCTGACAGCTTGTTTGAGAAAGTACAAAGCATGGAATAAATCAGAGCACTGTAAAATCAACCAGGTGTAACACAAATTGATATTCGATGGTGGTTTCTGGTTTGAATGTCACATAATTGACTCCCAAGTTGCAGTGGAGACTTTGAGTTTTTTCCAGACACATCCAACCCGCAGCCCACAGGATGCTTGCTGCCCAGTGCAGCTGGCACTGCGGCCTCCCCCTGCCCCACGCCATCATGGCGGCAGCCCGGCCCCTCAGCACCAACCGAACACCAGAGCGCTATCAGCCCCCCGGGGGCACCGCGCTGTGCCGGCTCACAGTGATGGCAGATACGTTTATGGATTTTGATACACTGGCTGTACACAGTCCTATGAACAGCAAGAATACGCAGCTGTGCTTTTTGTTTTGATAAAAGAATTTTAAAACTGGAAAAAAAAAACATTTTTTTGGTTCATTTGCGACTCCATTTTCACTCAAAGTAAATATATCACTTGTGAATTTTCAAATGAAACACAGAGTTGCAATTCAAAATTTGATCGTGTCTCTTTACCAGACTTTCGTAATCCTTCTTTTACCGGAGAAAATCACTTTGCAGTCATGCCTTGCTCTCATATCATTGCTTTCTGCTGGTACATACATTTGTCAACAATTATTTTCAAGGATGAAACACAGGAAGAGTAAAATTTCATCAAAAATCTGTGATGAACACTTGAGAGCTCTCTGAGGACTGGAATCACTGCCATCAAAGTGGACTGATGCATTAGTTTCACAAAAACAAGGTCACATATTCCACTAGTTTTATCGCTTTGTTGCTTTCTTTTTAAAATATATATTAATAATTAACATTAAAAAAGTAAAGTAAGTTTTGTTACTTTATATACACTAACTATATCATGTATTTTACGAGGGCTGCTCTAGAAGTAGTGCCTTCTATTTAATCATGTTTCCCCACAACATCAGAGGCTCCCAGTGATCCAGATGCGTTTCAGCATTCCTTCTTGTAATGACATGATTCACAATAATGTCATCAGGTACTTAGTGGGGACAAAGGACAGGAAGAATATTGCTTTGTCAGATCTAAGGAGGCTGCTTTCTTACTTTTGAAAAGATCACTTGTTTTGAAAATATGGAGCTGAGAAGCGTTTTGTTTCCTGTTCAATTGTCTGTAACATGTATTTTCTATGGTGTCTAAATTTCTGAAGCTTTAAGAATCATAAACAAACTTGGCTAAAGGCAGTATATGATAATGATATGATAATATGATATGAGGTGTAATTCATTGTAATATATAACATTGTATTTGTTGTTAAAATCTCCCCAGTTAAAGTGGTTCTCAGTACTGCAGTGACTGTCACTACAAAGGCTGATATTTTTCAAGATTTGATTGGTGAGCTATTTGATCAGGCTTATGGATACGGTACTCAAGTATTACATTTAATCATCTCTAAAGCAATTCACTGTGAGACCTATATTTGAAAGCTTTGAGTGGGGCTCAGGATGTGCCTTAAAACTGGTATCTACAAAACCATGCCCCAGCAGTCCTCCAACCACAACTCACCAATAGCAATGACTTGGAAAGACAGTTGGACATGGTCTCATGGACCCTCATCAGGTAGATACATCTGATTCTTTCCTTCCTACATTTGGCATGGTCTGAAAACTGACTTATAACAGTCAGTTTTGGTGTCCTACTGACTTTAATTTATATTGAAAGAATGTGCATGTGCATTACATGTGCAATTTCAAATTAGGTAGAAGTTTGTGATCTTGTTTTAACTAGCATTAATTGACAGCCAATTAATTCCAGTAATATCATAAATAAGCTTCAGTAATATTACTGTAAATGCTAAACTAGAAGCTCTGCAAAATATGTTTTTGTTTCTGACATAGTATTTACATAGTATTTCAGGCTAGTATTTACAATTGTGTTCATTAATTTGAGATAATTGGCAATTGGAAATCAATCAGCCAGAAAATCCAGGATCATCAGCTCTTGTCTAGACAGAAAAAAAAATTTTTGTGAAATATATCCCCAATTTAAGCCAAGTTGTTTTGTAATATGTTCAACACAGAAGGATAATCAGATCACAGATGCTTCACTCTCAAACATGAATTTCTCTTCTGCGTAGCTCCTTCTCTCTGTAAGAAGGCACATGTTGATGTTTCTGCTGTCAGGACCCTTAGTGCACTCCTGAAGTCTTGTTGAAGATGTGAAGTGGGCTGGCTCTGTCCCATGTCAGCTCTTCTCCACTAGGAGCTCTGGTGAAGAGTGCTGGAAGCCAGAACCTGGCCCTGCTTTTCCCTGGGAGCTGCTTTTCAGCTAGGGGCATAGCACTAGCCCCCTCCATCACAGAAAGATCCCAGACACATCCATGCACATCTTCAGCCTCCATTCGCTTTGTCCCAGACCTGAATGCATCAGCAAGGCTTTTCTGCTTGCCCATGGACCTGCCTCATCACTGGAAAAGTGCTGGTAGATTTGCAGGCTATATCTATCCCTGAATGCACCACAGACCTAGTCCTGACCCTAAACATATCATGGCTCCTTGGAGTGAAGTCCCTACTCCCATCAGCCATGTCATCATGCTGGCTCGTGGATCTCTTTCAAGTCTTAACAGCGTCACTCATGAAGCAGCGCCATTTGGCTAAGGTTTTCCTCCTAAGTGAATCACTAAGTCTGCCTACAAACACAGTAGGCTTTAAATCAGCAACAATGATTGAGTTATAAACAGTGTTTCTCAGTTATAAGTGAAACATGTGGGTGAACTGAAGAGAAACTGAATGTTTGGAAACAAACAAAACAAAAGTCAACCTCACGGGAAATCTTCCCTGGTGTAATCCATATCATTCCTGATTACAAGGGCATTAGTTATAAGTTTCTGAAACCACAGCAATTTACATGTGCTGAGGTTAAGGCCACCAGCCTGAAATGGTAAGCAGACAGGAACCACAGAAATACCCAGTGACTCAAGGGTTGTCACTTGCTGTAACATACTGAGGAGCACGTTTACACAGACAAGCAAATATTTTAGCATTTTCTTTCATTCTCCTATAGACTAAATCAGAGATCTGATAACTGCTTTCAGCACGCACACAATGTCTGTTAAGACAAGCACCTTGTTTTGTGTAATGGGTTCCACAGTGTAAGAGAGTTGATATTCAGGAAGACAGAGCAGCTCTCATCTTCTGAAAACAGCCTTTGGCAGTGGGAAATTTTACTGCAGTAATCTCCAGTCCTGCTCTTGCTCCAACCTGTTTAACCTTGATATGCATCAGGAGTTCTGTCTTATCAGACCATGAAAGATTTACAATGCCAATCTAACGAAATCCCAAAGTATTTACATTACTGCTGTCTCAGACAAGGTAATGTCTAAAAATTAGGTGACCGATTCCAGCAGAGAAATTCTTAAGTTCCTTAACTTCCAACAGACTGAGGCAAAGGAGACAGAGCCCAGTTTTTGACTCTGCCTCTTGGCTTCTGTGACTCCATCTATCTTGTTTCCACACATGCGAGGCCTTGGCTAATTTTATGGTGAGGGGTAGGACTGACCAGTCTTTTGATTGACTCTGAGTGTTTGGTCTTGTTTACTCTTTTCCTCTTGCACTTCCAAACCCGGGACTCATTTCACAACCCTGAGATCAGTATCTTTCTCAGCCCTGACATTTTGCATGCAAGTTTAATTCCAATCATAGTTGCTCCCTACAGATATTCCTTTGATTGAGAAAATAATACAACCACACAATATTGTTTCTACATCAGCCTTGCAGTTTTTAGCTCTGTGTCTGCTTGAGATAGCCAGTCTAACTTTAAAGCCCACACTCTAGGTGTGTGTGTGTGTTTCATTTTGATTCTGAGTTTAAGTACGAAACCTTAAGCTTGTCCTCGTCATCAGCAAAGTTAGAGAAAACCAGGCTGGAGTCTGTGGGGACAGCATTGGAAGTTACAGCTGAGAGGACATTTTGTCAATGGAGCACTTGGCTGCCTAGCCAGGAAGACCCAAGGCCTAGCTGTAGAGATGGTCTTCCTCCTCTAAGAAGCAGCCTGAGAGCCTAGTGCCTCCCCGTGCTGACTGTGGCAGAGCCTCTTCTCCATTCCTCTCCTCCCTCAGTAGACAGCGTAACCAAAGAGAAGGACAGACCTCCTTGGAACACTGCCCCAGCCTTGGGTGGGAGGTGACAGATGTCAGGCACAGGCTGATGCCTTTCTGTAGGAGGACTCCTGGCCAGACCTGTTGTCCTGTAGTGAGACTGGTGCCTGGGGCTGACGCTGTCAGCATGTTGGGCGAGATGATGCACAAATGGGGCAAACACGCAGCATAACCAGAGGCAACAGAAAAAAAGTGTGCAAGTTCAGTTAGGTAATGTGCTGAGTTGGTTTAGATCTGACTGTATCCCTTAGTATTTCACACGTATGGCACAATCCGCATTCACTGTGCTTAGACATCTGTCAATGCTTCCAAAGCAAAAGGCTTGAGAAGCAAAAGCCCAGGCCTGATTTAACAGAGATGCACGAGCTGTGTTGCTGCTGCTGGACAAACCACCCCACACAGTGCCCCGTACCAGCACTCCTTGCTTTGCTGGGGGGGAGCTGCTGCTGTAACTGGAGGCTTTAGCCCAGCTCAAACTGAGCATAAAACATGGATCTTGAGCTTGGGCTCGCACGCTGTCACAATTTTTTTATTATTATTATTATTTAGAACAGAACTTTTACCCTTCCTTCTCACAGGAGTTTCTTTGTCCTTCCCTTCTTGCAATCTGAACTTCTGGAGGGTTTACTAATTCGCCTATATTTAGCACCTGCCTCCCCATGTATCCAACAGAAAGACACATGGCACCTGCTCTGCAGCCAGGAGTTATTTTAAGCACTTCTAAAATGGGGCATAGTATTTCACACTTTTTGGTCAAAATTCACATACTCACACATGTAAGTTCCCTAAAACAGTGTTCCATATAATTACACCAGGCAGCATATGCCAATAAAACCTAAAGCTTTACTTCAGCATGTGACCAGACTGAACTACACAACACCTCAAAGCAGCAAACAGTAAACCCTGAAATGGCCAGCAGTGGTTAGCTCCAATTACCTTCCAGAAATACAGAAGTGCCTTCTTATAGCCTAAAGGCTGTTCTATATATTACTTCAGAACACTATGACAAAATCAGCTTTATCAACTCTGTGCTGCAGTTGAATAGCATTGTGATTTATGCATGATTTTCTAGTACGAAATCAAACAAAACTGGTTGTTTGGTGGCATGTTTTCTTACAGGCATGAAGAAACCCTGGACCCAAAGACTTTCTGATGTTGCCTGTCTTGTGTTTCATGTGGCATCTGAGTCTTCATCAGTTTTTGTTGTCACAGCCATAGCCTCTATTTGCACCCAAAAGCCAGCTCTCCCAAGCCAGTTTACATTTTTTTTGGTCGCTCCTTAGAGAAGCGTTTCGTCCTTTCACCAATGGGCTCCCATGCTCGCCTTTTTTCCTCACATGCCACACAGTGCTCAGGCTTTTAAGGCTATTCCAAGGAAATTGGGCTGACTGTCTCAAAGGTAAGCACTTAGATTAATGTCCTTGTGCCATGCCACCAGCAGTAACAGCAGGGAAGCTGATTGTCAGACTTACCAGAGCAAAGAGAAGTGCGGGCAGAAGTCAGGCAGAAAGCTCAAACCAGGGGCACGACAGCAGCAGGGCACTGGATTATAATCCTGCCACCAAGAAGACCAAGCAAGGGGGAAGGACAGAGTGACACAGCAGGAACAAGCACTGCAGAGCCCAACTGCACACTGTGCAGGGGACTGGCTGTGATAGGCGAGCAGGGAGGCTGCCTGCTAGTTGGCAGCATAACCCAGCTATGTTGGCTATTCCCTTCTCTGACAGAGATAGCACGAGAGGTCAGAAACTCGGGCCCTTAGAAAGAAGAGATACAGGAAGGATTCAAATACACCTGCTACTCTTGAAAGCTAAGTCTTAGTCTGTCAAGGATTTGATGTGTTGTGCTCTGTGAAATTTATTAAACATGGTCTGGTCAGACTCTAAGTCTTCTGTCTACACCAGGAAGACTGGGGTGGCTTTCAACAGTGTGAGCTCACACTTGTGACCGCCCTTTGCAACCTGAGGTCCGGGCTGGATTTGTTATAAACCTGACTGATTCATGGTCATAGACTCACAGGAGGAAAACTGGAGGTCTCTCATCCAACCTCTTGCTCAAAGCAAGCTTAGCTATGAATTCAGACCAGGTCTCTCAAGGCCTGTATCAAGTTTTAGTATTTAGAAACTGCGTGACCTCTCTGGGGAACCTGTCCTGCTGCTTGACTGTCCTCAGGGTGAAAAGGTTTCTCCGCATATCCTAGGTTGAACCTTCTTGTTTCAGGTTCCTGTCCTTCCACCTCCACCCCTATGGAGAGCCTCTATCTGTCTTCTTGTCAATCTCATAGGTTCTTTGGGGCTGCAGTTTGGAGCTCTAAAAGCTCTCCCTTCTCCACGCTGAACATCTCACCTTCTCCAGCAACCTCATGGGGCAAATAATCCAATCCCAGCCACCACATTTCAGCAATTGGAATGCTAGGAGAGATGGCTGGTGTAGTCCTCCCTTTGAATCGAGGAGCTCTCAAATAAATATTTTTGTTGCTGCCAAGGTAACCTGCCTGACCTACTTTCTTCGTGTTACCGTGCAGGCTCGCTCTGGCCTGAAGTTGTTTGTATAAACAGCCAAGCACTCCCCAGGGAGTTCAGCTGCATGCTGTTTATTCAGCAACCAGCATCTCCCACTGCTGTGGCCCACAAGTCACTCAGGCAGCATCTTGAGATGCCAGATGGCCTAAGGACCATCTGCTGCTTACTCCCAAAGGAGAGATGTAGGTCAGTTTAATGCATAAAAATGCAAGCAACTGGGAAGCAATAGGCTGGTGCTGGAAGTGGCAGGCAGTGCTATGAGAAGAAAAATTGGACTTTGACTCCAGTGGAAAATAATAAAGCTCAGAGCAACAATAGGAGGAAAAATAAGTATATACTACAACAATTTGGAGTAATTTCTTAAACGGCACATTGTGTAGCACTGGAGGATCTAGAAATGTTTTGTAGCAATATCTGATTCATGAGGATGTGACAGAACAGCACTGGGCAGCTCAATGTCCAGAAGTACTGGCTTGGAGGTGTTTGATATGTTGAGAGCATCCTGGTCTTTCTCTTCAGAGGACAAAAGGTCTTCCTTTTTGGAGATAGTTATCTGCTTGCTTGGAAAAGGCAGCTCATATGATCTCAAGATATGTGGGCTATGTGGCTTAAAGAAAAAACAGGTTCTTTAAACCTTCTTCAGAAACTAATGGTAGCTCAACAGTGCTCTTAAGTAAGTCACAGATTTAAGGACAAAGAAAAGGTGCTTGAAATGTTGGGAATCTTTTGGAGGGACTGGAAACTGGCTGGGCACGTTTTGAGAGAAGATAAAACTGTGGTTGTTTGTGATACAACAAAGTGAGCAAACCAAATATAAGAAAAGATAAGAGTGTACCAGCTTCTTGTGCTCCTTCTGTTTTGAATGGAGAATTCTGCTCCAGCCCCTTCTTTTTCCTTTCTGCGATCAAAGTGAATAACTGATCTACCAAGGAGCTAAGCAACAGCTGAGTTGGGGAAAGTTGCCAACTCGTTGGTAAACAGAAGGCAAAACAAGTTCTGCATCACCTAGTCTTTCACCATGGTAAGACTATTACGTATTCACTCATTTTTGCAACAAATAGCATGCACACAAACTGTTGTTGCAGCTCAATAGCTTGCAAGAATTCATGGACAGTGACAACTTGCTTGTGTGCTGGAGACGTTGGAGAGTACTGATAACAGGAAATTATTTGGAACTATCCTTATAAATATAAGCTACAATAAATCCAAAGTTACATGTTCTGAATTGTTCTCATTAATGCAATACGGAAGTCAGGAAATGGAAAAATAAAATCCTGAATCCTTGGTCCTGTCGGTAGCATGTGTATGCAGATCCCAAAGACTGTGAGGGATCTACTGGACTTTGGCCTGTAGAAACAAGCACACATTCTGCAACCCCCTGCAAATAGTAGCAGCTCTGCTCCACATGCTCCTGCTTGCCAGCAATACAAGAAAATCTGGAGACAACTGCTCCTGGTTGTGTCATTCATGTGGATGTGGACTGCAGCAGATCCACCATGCTTCACTGCCAGATCTGTAGCAGGGAGAGAGTAATTTCCGGATTTTAGCAAAGAAAACTTGCTAACAATTTGACATTCTTCACAGTTTTCCTACTTAGCAGTTTTTAATCTATTTTTGGGCAGATGCAAGTCTTTCATGTTGTATTATACCTGGGCTGAATCAATCCCTGTTGTGCTACTGCTTCTCCTACTTATATTGGAAATAAAATTCAATTCTGTTTAAACCATTATGTGCCATAATATCTCTGTGCTTCTGTACATTTGCATAACACTCTTATACTGTAATAATAAAACATATAGTATAGTAACAAGCATATATGTAAGATATATGACAAAAGTATAACATATATGAGTAATGTGGTTCAAACATAACTCTCACAAAGGTCTTGAATCACAAAAGCACATTGTTATGTATGCAGTGGTCTAGAAGTCAGAAGCTTGCTGAGTCAAGCAGCGTTCCCCTGCTGTGGGAACAGAGTGTCGTGAGAAGAATCCCATAAGGATCCAATGCCAGGTCTGTCAAGACAGATCTCCACTGGGTTTAATTTAGTTCTATAGAAGTGTTGTAAACATCTGTACCTGGCAGACATTTTGCATGGTGACCTCTTGGGAATCATTTCTCTCCTGCTGAGTTCTATGTTAAAAAAAAAAAAAAAAAGATATTTACATTTATTTGCATCCACAAAGCAGGTGCTCCATACAGCATCAATTTTCTGCAGATTTCCTAGCTCCAAATCAATCTCAAAAGGTTTGAGAGGTTATGATTTGCCTTCTAATAAGATTTTATGGCCTGAGGGTTTGTCATATATCTCAGATTTGCCAGGTTTCATCTTTACAACTCAAAGATCCTGGCTACAAATGGCAGTTAATAACACAGCCAAATTGGCTGACACAGAAAATCCCAATAGGCATTAGACATAACTAATTTAAGCAAATAATTTAATTCTTAATCTACATCACTAAGAATATAATTTCTGAGTTTTAGTGAGGAAACCAGTCTAAGAAACTGGAGGAATCCCCTGTGGTTTGCTACTAAACAGTTTTTGATTTATTCCTGGAAAGATTCAAGTCTTTTGAAATCTTAAGAGCAAGCAAAATCAATTATCAGAGTTTCAATTTTCTACAGGCAATTTCCACTGCTTCGCTTGCTCAAGAGATAGACTCTCCATAAATACATTATGCTATGTTCTGTTTGAAGAATTTGGCAAAATGGAGAAGAGATTCACTTGAAAAATGACACATGAGGTAAAGGAATCCCTCAGGTAAGGCATACAGTCACACCTGAATACATCTCTGCAGTTTGGAAATAACCTTCCTCCACTATATTTGGAAAATTTATTAGGAAGAAAAAGAGCAGTGTTATCTGATTCCAGTTATACTGATACTGCAGAGAAGTTACTGATGAATTACATCATTTTAATCTAAGATAAAATCAAGTCTGAAACTTTTAAAGCATACTTCATACCAAAACTGTCTATTTTAAATGCAATCTAAAAGTGATGTCCCTCTAGCTAGAAGTGACCTTCTATCAAAAGATAGTGGGAGTAGAGTTGGGCCCAGTCAATTGTCTACCATGGACATTCTGTGATCCTACCGGATCTCTGGGCCCAATTCAGATGCAATCATGCTGTAAATCACATATCAGAGAGTACATCAGTCGAGGATGACTTACAGAGAAGAAAGCTAACTATCCCAGTAAGATTGTGTAAACTGACTTATATAAAGGTGCTTTTTCTCTTTCCTTCCCTTTTCTAGCCCCTTCAATTTTCTAGTAACATTCACTTGCACCAGCTTTTTATTGATAAATATATATATTGATAAATATATATATATATATATTTATATATATATAAAGACTGTTGCTTGATCTGTTTTGCAAAAAATTAGGAAAGGAAAAGCCTCATTAAGAGCTTGGTCCTGCAGCTGCTCTGTATGTGGAGCAGATTTCATGAGGAACACCTGCTGGTGAGCAGAATGGAGAATAAAGCAAATTAGAAATTGAAGACAAGCTCTCTCAGTTATAGGAGCTGAGCATGGGCAGTAAAGCATCTCAAAATAGGACCCAAACATCTTTCTCTGAAAAAGATAAGATCCAAGTTGTGCTGGCAATCTAAAGTAATCTGAGGGCATTAGGGGCTGAGTAATGTTAAGGTAATGACTAACTTAGCTAAGAACACAGGTAGGAAGAACAGTGATTGATACAATGGGAAGGACGCAGTTTGGCATAATATTTAAATGAGGCTTGGGAGTAATGGAGATATTTGTGATGGAAGTTAAAGGCATACAGAAAGAGAAATAATGGAGGCAACAATAGTGAAATGAGTTGTAATGAGACCCTAATTTTATAGGCTATTTATAGAGTAGCTGATGAACTGTTAGTTCAGGAGGAGCTGCATAGTGGCTCACAGAGCTGGCAGTATTACTGTGCAATGTCTAAAATGGCTGCTGATGTAAACACCACTGACCTATTTTAAGACATGCATGGAAAAAGAATCACTGCAGGGGAAATGCAAAAGGGTGAAAAAGGTATAATGGTGTTAATAGATCGAAATAGTAAAACAGTCCTAGTTGTGTGTGTGGATAATGTTTTACAAGTAGTCCAGGAAGAATTTCCTTCGTAGACATGCCATCTTTTGGGG